GTTGGGGGGTTGGGAGTAAAGTTCCCCACTGTGCATCCCAAAAAATCCAGCCTGTGTGGTCTTGGGGAAGCTGCGCAGTCCCAGGAGGCCTCCAGAAGAAGGGAATAATAAACCACTTTTGAGTATTTTCTAACAGAAAATGTTGAAAACAGTCACTATACAGTAGAACTGACTTGTCAGCACACAAGTATTACAACTATTTCTTTTGACTCTGTGAGTATAACATAACGGCAACAAATGAAAGGGATTCTCAGGAGCTCTTTTAATTCTCCCATGGAGGTGCACGCACAAGAGCAAATATTCACAATTCTAGATTGCTTTCCTTCGATTCATTAATATTTTATTTTATTTATTTTTTAATAATCTTTCAACTTTGGCTTTCAGGTCCCATAATACTTGCAAATAAAAGCAAGGTTTGTGTAGGCTACTGTGTTCTGTTATTTCTCTTAGCTGTAGTTAAATTATAAGACTTGGTGCTGTAAAATAACTTGGTTGGAAAAGGAATACAGTATATAATCTTCTGTTACTAGGGCAAGAGATGACTTCATAGCACTTAATGCTATCTCTTAGACAGAGATGAGAAACAATGGCTGCAATCCTGTTTGATCAGCTTTGCCATGTAACAATGATGATGTCATCAGCTGTGGATATTTTACAGATATATAAAAAATCTGCCACTACTACCACCCAGGGTTTTTGAGGATCCCATGGGATCCTGTGTCATGGGGAAGCCACTGGGAACTATGGCATAGTGTGAAGTTTTTAAATTTTAAAGCCCATTATGACCAGATAACTTTACTGGTGGCTGTGATTGTCAAAACTAAATATTCACACACACACACACACAAACACACACATCCCAAAGCCTCCAACAACTTCCCCATAACAAAGGGGATTCCTTGCAACCTTGAGGGGGGGGATGATTTTTTTTATTTGTTAAATTTCACCTTAGTTGATGACATAATCAGCCTTAACGTGGCATAGCTGTACATACAGGATTTCAGCCTCGACTTTTGAAAACTATAACTCCCAGAACACTGTCTGGTTATTCTGGGAGTTGAAATAAAACATTGTAATTTTCTACATCTCTGATGATGATGATGATGATGATGATGATGATGATGATGATGATGATTAGTATTAGTATTAGTATTAGTATTAGTATTAGTATTAGTAGTATTAGTAGTAGTAGTAGTAGTAGTAGTAGTAGTAGTAGTAGTAGTAGTCGTAGTTGTAGTTATTGTTGTAGTTGTAGTTGTAGTTGTTGTACCCAGA